CCCCACTCCCATCTTCCACTCTCTCCTTCTCTCTTGAATATAGATGTGTCACCTAGAATTTTAGGAGAAGGAGAGAAATATCAATGTGAGAGAGAAACATCGATCTGTTGCCTTTTGTATGCACCCCAACCAGGAGTGAACCCACAACCCAGGCATGCATCCTAACCAAGAATTGAACCTTTGATGGGAGGAAGTTCCAATCAACTGAGCCATATCAGCCAGATCTGGATTAACCATTCTTATTTTAAACTCAGTCAAATGTCAATGTCAATGTCTAAGACTAAGAAAAACAAAAGTACTCTAATCTATTACAGTAGCAAGCTGATTAAATAGTTTCTTGCATTAATTTTGATTTCTACTAGTACTATTATGATGTCCGTACAATCACTTTTTCAATGAGAAACAAGAAATATTAATGCAACAAAAATTTCTGAATTTATCTACTTTATTTTCCAGCTTTAAAATATTGACTTATTCTACCCTTTCCTCCTTTCAAGACAATATTTATCTCCTTCAACTAACAAAAAATGTGAACATTAGGAAATTTACCAAAACTGTATTTTTTCTATTATATTTACATACCCAACTCACAGCTTCTTTTATGTAGCCACAACAAACAGTAGTACCAGGCCTCTAACTTAAAACATTAGAAGTGTTAAGAATTAAAGTATATTATTTCTGTGTAAAAACTTATCAAGAGTAATTCGAACAGAACTTGCTTTCTTGTCACATAATATATGATATGGAGTGAACATTTTTTATGTCATGGTGAATTCTCAAACTCCTTTTTAGAGTCAATGCTGCCAGAACTATGCTGAAACTACACAGACAGGACAGGGAGAAATAAGCTAAATACAGGTTGATTTAGAAAATAGCTGTTTGTCCTTTGCTGTCATATTTCTAAAAATTACTATACTTCCTCTTAAAAAGTATAATTTTCTGCCCAATTGGTTCTTTATCTGGTCATCTTTTTCTTCTGGGAGCATGTTTTATCTTTACTATGAGAGACAAGGCCTACCCAGGTTATATATACACCTACAAAACAAAGCCTATGACTAGCATCATTCCCTAAAGGTAGAGGGTGGATCCTAGTCATTTTTGTAGGCCAATTTCACACATAATTTTGTACACATTACAGTTCATATATTCTGAATATTAAAAATATTTTTCTTTCACTTAAGATATCTACAATATTCCTTTTGAATAATGCCTGAATCCCATACTTCCATCCACCTCTCCCTACTTCCCTTACCACCCTCCCTTCCTCCATTACAAGATTCCACCCAGGGTAAATAACTAGGCAGCAGTTTTCTTTCTTTTAGGCTGAGTGACTTTAAAAATGAAGGCTACCATAGCTAAGACTATGGTGTCTAAGTCAATGACAGCCACTAAGTCCTTAAACATCCATTATCACTTTTGTTCCTTATAATAGCCCTGCTAGAGAACAGAATATCACTATTTGCACTCAAAAGTAAAAAACTGAAACTTCACATGTTAAATTACTCAACTGAATTCATGGAAGTATTTGACAATAGTCTAGTATCCTCTCTCTCTCTCCCCCCCGCCCCCCTTCCACTCCATGTCAAAATTTCTCGAAAGATTTATCTCTACCCTTGTTCTCCCTAATCAACCTACTGGTCTATAATCCACTGTGTCATAGAAACTGTCCCTATCCAGGTCCACGGTCTCCAGGCGCTAAATTCTATGGCCAGTTCTTTGTCCTCATTTTCTCAGCAGCACTTGAACCAGATGATAACTGACTGAAACACTCCCTTCTTGGCTTCCTAGTAGACACTCTACTCTCCTGCTTGTACCTCTGCCTCCCTGGCTGTCTCTTCTTTTTCCTCTGCTGGTTTCCCCTCCCAACTGGCCTTCCTTAACCTGTTGAACTGGCCTAAGGTTCAGTTTTCAGACCTCCATCTACTCTCACTAAGTGAGCTCATCCAACCACATGTACTTATATTACTTTTGATGCCAATAATTCCTGAATATGAATATCCCTCCTGACCTCCCCATAAGCTTCAGAGTCATGTAAAAAACTCCAGTTAATCTTTCCTCTTGTCATATCTAGCTTTTTATGGGAAGTCCTCTTTAACAAATATGACAAGTGGTTGACTGAAATTTTCAAAAGTTGAAAATTCTGTGGGAATCAAAAAAGACACATATCTTAAACATTTTTTTTTTAATTTAAAACACAAAGGTTCATTCGTTAGCCAATCTTTTCATATGAGACCAAAGCCTTTTCTTTGAATGTGGACTCACAAATAAATGTTCCATATCATCTTTCTTGCATAATTTATAACAAACTGAATTGTCCTATGATTTCAAGTTTCATTTGATCTAACAAAGAAAAAGCACATAAAGACACTAACATGCACTCTGAATGCAGAATGCCTCTAGAATTTTAAGACTTTTTTCCTGGCTTATATACCTGGCTTGCTGATAATTAATTCTATAGCAATTTTTTTATAAACCAACTCCACTTTTACAAATTGTCTTCAAACAAACAACTCTCTTAGTTTTTAAATAGATAACTATTTTAAACTCAATATTCATTAGAGTTTATGATACTTCATGAATTATGTAATTATAATGGTAAAAATAATTAGCATAATGAGGCCCTACGTGGCATATAATTCAACTAAAAGGACTAAATAAATGTGGCACACTAAAGGATGGTGTATGGGTACTTAGGTACTGTTAAAATCAGGTAACATATTTTATGGTGAAAATGGAAAGCCATGGTATTCCAAGTCCATTAAGGGGATATGTGCTAAGAAAGTTCTTGATTTCCACTTCCCACCTTATCATCATGAAGCCATACCTTCTCCAGCCCTCCTCATACCAGTAAATGGTAACAGTCGATTACAAAAGCTAAAAGCTTTAATTCCTCTCTCTTCCTTACTAATATCTAAAACATCACTAATTCCTGTCTTTCCAGAAACTCTCAAAATGTATCCTAGACACGTTCACCTCTCTCCACCTCCATCCCCATCACCCACAATCCAAGCTATCATCACCTCCTAGCTGATATCTACCTTGCCATGTTCTACCAGGTCTTAAAGGAGCTAGTACCTACCTACCTCTCCAGATTCATCTCACACCATTCTCCTCTTGCCCACTCTTCTTTAGGCACAGTCCTTCTTTCCCTTTCCTTTACTATGCCAAATCCCTACCAGGGCCACTGCACATGCAGGTCATCCTGCCTGGAACACTATTCCACTGACTTTGCATAACCTCACTTCTTATTTTTCTGATGTAACCTCAAATGTTATATGCCCTTAGAGAGGTTTATTTATCATTCTAACTGAAGGACTCCTTCTTTGGGCTTCTTTCCATCTCTGGGTTGCTATGTATCACGTAATAATAAATAACCATCAAGAAATTAAAGCAGCCTTGGCTGCTGTGGCTCAGTGAATTGAGTGCCAGCCTGCAAAACAAAGGGTCTCCAGTTCGATTCCCAGTCAGAGCACATGCCTGGGTTGCAGGCCAGGTCCCCAGTAGGGGGTGCGCGAGAGCCAACCACACATTGATGTTTCTCCCCCTCTCTCCCTCCTGCTATTGTCTCTCTAAAAATAAATAAATAAAATCCTAAAAAAAAAAAAGTTAAAAACAGATATACCATGCTATCTCATTTACATTTTTCAAAGTTCTTTTAGGCTGCTATGTGGAGAATGGATTGAAAGAGGAGGCAAGGATAGAAGGTTATGATTGGCGGGGAATAAGTACAAAGGAACCAAAATGTTCTACATCTTAATAGACACCTGGGTTACATGGGTATATACATTTATAGAAATGATTAAATTGTTCACCATATGCAAATTTTATCACAGGATTTTAAAAGAACAAAAGTCCTAAATTTTCTCAGACATCACACAGGATACAAAAATCCAGAAACGGAACCACACTGTTATCCATTTTCACCAAGACCTACTTATTAAAATGGTCATTTTCCTCCGAAATTCCTACTGTTCTCTGGCAGAAAAATTTAGATTTGGACCAATTTTTTTGTAAATTCTCCAATGTGGCAATACAATGGAAAAATATGTGTCACTATGAAAAATAACTTATTATGCATTTATAAATAAGTTAACCATATAAAACTATGATAAAAAGCATGAACTGGTATCGATGAAATGTTCAAGCACATCAAATGATGGTGATGTGAAACATCCATCACAAACTGTGTGCTAATGAACCCCCCCAGCCATAGACTGAGTAAGAGTGTTGTGGTTCAACTTCTTTCATCCCCCAAACACCTAAGAAATGCCACACATGGACTCATAATGGCACACTAATGCGTGAAATGTAAACAAGAATGTATAACGATGACAGAGACCTATAATTAGAATGTATAAAAAAACTACATGAATCCAATATATGCATTTCCTTATAACATACTCTACTCCCTAAACAGCCATGATAAGAGTCACTATCTAAAGCTGCAGGGCCCAGATCAGTAGCCGTCAACCACATGTAGCTACTGAACACTTAAAATGTGGTGAAAGCAAATGAAACACTGAATCTTTAATTTTATTAAATTTTAATTAACTTGAATTTTAAAACATATTCAATTCAATTATTGGAATAACTTGTTATGTAAACTATTCTTTTCAACTGTTATTTTTATGAGATACAAATACAGACCAAATATTTCCAAAGAAAATTCAGTGTCATTATTAAGATGTGCTCAAAGAGTAAATTACACACTGGCTTAAAAGACAACACAAAAAATAAAGTTTAATAGCTAACTAATAATTTTTTCATTGGTTAGATTTTTAAGTAATATTTTGGATTCACTGGTTTAAATAAATTATTAAAATTAAATTTACCTATTTCTTTTTACTTTTTAAATATAATTACTGGAAAATTAAAAGGCATGTATGTGGCATGCATTATATTTCCACTGGATCATACTATTTTAAAGCTGTATATGTTAAGTGCAAATTAAAAATATCATTATGACACATTAATGATTAATATTTCAAATACCTCCTGACCTTTTCACTTGATTGTCTTCTTTTCTTTAGTTGAATGAAATCTGTTTCCACCCTTTCTGCCAGCTCTAGTTTCCGCTTGTTTCTTTTAAATGCAGCTAAACTGAATCCTATAAAAGAAACATTAAAAATTACATTTGATAAATATTAGGGCAATTGGGCAGAAGAGATATCCTGAAAAGCCTTCTCAGGACACTTAAGGGTGTTGGATAAAAGGTTAAGAAAGTCTTTTCAGTGTATGCTGAAATGGTAGGAAAATAAAATAAATAACCTAAGGTTAGAGAAGTAAAATAATGGTCAAATCCAGAGAGACAAGTGAGTCCTGAAGGTAGATGCCTCTGGTATCTGCTAATGTAAAACAGCCAACTCTGGTATTGAAGGTCTCTGCACATATGGGACAAGAGATGAAACCTGGGGACAATACAGCACAAAGAAACATACTGGAGATTACCCACAAAAAAACAGAAGGAAACCCCAAAGGGTCATATGACCAATAAAAGGGAAAACCAGGAAAAGCCACCATATGCAAAGACACAAAAAACTTGCAAGTCTCAGCCTTGAATTTAAATGTAAGGGAAGGCCCTGGCTCGTGTGGCTCAGTGGATTGAGCGCCAGCCTGCAAACTGAAAGGTCACTGGTTTGATTACTAGCCAGGGCATATGCCTGGGCTGCAGGTCTCCAGTTGGGGGTGTGCAGGAGGCAACCAACTGGTGTATCTCTCACACACTGATGTTTCTCTTCATCTTTGTCCCTCCCTTCCTCTCTCTCTAAAAATAAATAAATATAATCCTTAAAAAATACACGTAAGGGAAGAAAAGTCTCTCTAGACCAAGAAGGGCTTTCAGATGGGTTTAGAGGAGAATGTGTATTACCTGGGTAGCAAAAAAATAAAAATAAAAATTCAAAAATTCTCTTGGTGTGCCAGTGCTTTAAAAACCCATATAACACAAATGCACATATTCCCTAGAAAAACACACCTTAACTCACCAGACTTGAGAGTTCTACTGTTCCACTTAACATGAGCCCATAGTTATTTTTTAAAAATTCACAAATGAGAAATAAAACACTAAAAAAAAAGTTGACCAAACATAGGAAGCATAATTCAACTTAAACTTATGAAGACGCTGGACACTGGAATAATTGCATACAGAATATAAAACATGGTAATGATTATAGAAATAAAAAGAATAATACTGAAAACATAACTAAGGAACAAAAGATGATAAAGTGGTCAGGCAGACTTGAAGAAAAAAACAAATAGAGCTTCTAAAAGTAACAAAATAAAATAGCCCTGGATGGTGTAGCTCAGCGGACTGAGTGCCGGCCTGCAAAGGTGAGGGTCACTGGTTCGATTCCTAGTCAGGGCAAATACTGGGTTGTAGCCCAGGTCCCCAGTGGACGGTGCACAAGAAGCAATTACACATTGATGTTTCTCTCCCTCTCTTTCTCCCTACCTCCCCCCTCTCTAAAAAATAAATAAACAAAATCTTAAAAAAATAAAGGTAAAGTATAAAATATAATAATGAAAAATGTAAAACTTCATATACAGATTTAAACAGCCAATTAGATTCAGCTGATAAAAGAGAAATTACAAACTAGAACATGAAAAGGTTTCCAAAGTTTTCTGATAATAGCAGGCTAAATTATTAAAAGTAATTTTCCTACAGAGTATTACTAAAAATGTGAGATTAAAATATGAAAACATATTACCTTAAAAGCATTTAAAATATTATAAAAAGTTCCAAGTGAAATTCTGAGAGTGAACTGAGGACTAAGGCTATTACTACCACTGGGAGCATCTGTCAACACTAGTATAAATTAATTTTAGTTGTAAGGCAACAAAAAAAAAGACAAAGTCAAGCCTAGAGGCCATTAAAAGTAGAGTTCTACTGGAGACACTTTCCAGAATAAGCTGGGAATTTAAAGGGCTAATACACTCACTACAGGGATAACCGAGAACTATGCAAGTCTGCCCCTACTCTCTACCTCAATACCAAGTGCATTCAGGCAAGATTGTCTTAGATTATGGCAGAACAGAAGGGAAAAAATGGACAAGGAGAAGAAATAAAAGGGGGATGGGAGTAATTGGAAAGAAAAAAACTCCCTGAGAATTTTGGGGTTGACTGGGGCCTCTGCACAGATTTGCAAACATGTGGCTTGGGTAGGTCAGGGAAGAGTAAGCTTTTAACTAATCTTAAGTAGATTCCAATTAATAATGTGTGAAATAATAGTAAATATACAGTGGTCTCTGCCCCCAATTCCTGGCACAGAGCTCTTAAGACCTTTATAATTTCCTAAGTGATAAAAGCACTATGATCACCTTTTGTTCTAACACCAGGTCTCTTGACCCCAGTTCCTGAAAGAGAGCTTCTCAATCCACTGGAATTTCCAGGATGATATAAATGTCTTTTGTTCTGAGTAGGCAACTCTTGGTGGGTTCCTGAGTCTTCAGGATGTGGACGGGTCACCAGAAAGACAAAGCCACTATTGAAAGCTTACAACTCTCAGTCCTATACCCTCCTCTGAGGGGAATAAAAAGTACTGGCTATTTAGCTAACAATAACTATATAATGAAACCTCATAAAAATCCCCAAAGTACAAAGCTTTGGAGAGCTTTCAGGTGGCTGAACACATCTATGTGTTGGGAAGGTGGTACACCCAAACTCCATGAGGACAGAAGCTCCTGCACCCAGGATCCTTCCAGATCTTGCCAGATGTATCTATAATTCTGGCTGTTCATTCATATTCTTTAATATCCTTTGTAATAAACTGGTAATCTAGTAAGTAAACTGTTTTCCAGAGATCTTTCAGACACTCTAGCAAATTAATCAAATCCAAGGAGGGAGTCATGGGAACCTCTGATTTATAACCCAGTCAGTAAGAAGCACAGGCGACAATGAAGGCTTGCAATTGGCATTTAAAGCAGGGGAGTTACAGTCTTATGACACTGCCCTTAATCTGTAGGGTCTGCACTAATTCAAGTCAGTGTCAGAATTAACTTAAATTGTAGGACACCCAAGTGGTATTGGAAATTAGTTGGCGTAGAAAACCCCCACCTCTGGGATCAGAAGTGATGAAGGGAGTTTTGAGTGTGACAGAAGTATGACAGTAAAGGAGAAATAAGAGTGTTTTTCCCATTCAGAGTGCACACACACTTGGCAAAAGTAAAACCAAAAAATAACATCTGAAAAAAGATGTCTATATCCTAGGCCATGGGTGAGTCTACACAAATAATTATTCCAGGGCAATAAGAAATATATAGTCAAAGATAATAAGGCACAAAGGAAATGAAGCACCATGAACAAGAACAAGCAGAAAAAAATCCTAATGTGTATTTCACATGATGGAATTATCAGGCACAAAATCAAACAGGTATCCTTAAAATGATTAAAAACAAAACAAAAACCATGAAAACACCACATTTCATATTATAAAATAAAATAAACTACAGATACTTAAAAAAAAGAACTTCTGGAAATGATAAAGCAAATAAGCAAAATTAAAATCTCAAATGTACATGTTTGGTAGTCGATGGGATATAGGGGAAAAAAACTGATGAATTAAAAGACTGATCAGGGAGATCTAAGATGGCAGAGGAGTAAGTGGAAGCTACACTAATCTCCTACCAGGACCATTCTGGAATTACAACTAAATTGTAGAGAAATCATCCTAAATAACCAATTGAACAACAGCTGCAGACAAGCCTTATAACCATGGACAGACAGAAGAAACCACATTGCTACAACAAGACAGGTAGGGAGCACAGAAGAGGCATGAGAGGGCTAGCTGGGCTCCCATGAGAGGCAGCTGAAATAAATGATACACTGGAAGGAAAAACCAGTAGGTTAGATGAAGCTAAGGACTGAACCTGTAATTTGGAAGACAGGGTACTAAAAAAAACCCAGGCAGAGCAGCAAAAAAATAAATAAATAAAAGAATTGTAAAAGATGAGGAAAGCTTAAGAAACATTTTGGGCAACATGAAGCATAACAACATCTACATCAAGGGAATGCCAGAAGGAAAAGAGAATGGGCAAGGAATTGAGCATCAGTTTGAAGAAATAATGACTAAAAACTTCCATAATCTGCTGAAGGAAAAAGGCACACAAGTCCAAAAAGGTCAGAGAGTGCCAAACAAGTTGGACCCAAAGAGGCCTAACCGAGACACATCACAATTAAAATGACATGGATGAAAGACAGGAGAGAATCCTAAAAGCCACAAGAGAAAAGCAAGTAGTTACCTACAAGGAAGCACCAATTAGACTGTCACCTAATTAATCAACAGAAACATATCAGGCCAGAAAAGAATGGCATGAAATATTCAAGATGATGAAAAGCAAGGACCTACGACCAAGGCCACTTTACCCTGCAAAGATATCATTTAAAATCAAAGGAGAAATAAGAAGCTTCCCAGACAAGAAAAAACAAAAGGAGTTTGTTACTACTCAGCCAGTACTGCAACAAATGTTAAAGGCCTTGTTATAATAAGAAAGAGAAGAAAAAACAAACTAGAGGAAAACAGTCTAAGAATAAAATGGCACTACATACGTACCTATCAATAATCACCTTAAATGTAAATGGCTTAAATGTGCCAACCAAAAGACATAAGGTAGCTGAATGGATAAGAAAACAAGACCCATATACATGCTGCCTCAAAGAGCTACATCTCACATAGAAAAATACACACAGACTAAAAGTAAAAGGCATGGAAAAATATTTCATAAAGAGGATCCAGAATAACAGAAAAGTACAGGGAAGCTACACTAACCTCCACCCAGAACCAATCCAGAATTACAACTAAATTGTAGAGAAATCATCCTGAATAACCAACTGAACAATAACTACAGAGAAACTTTATAACCACTGACAGACAAAAGCAGCCATTTCACCACAATGTAACTGGTATGGAATGCAGAGGAGATGCGAGAGGGCTGATGGGGATCCCACAGGTGGCAGCTGAAGTGCCAGAGGGAAATTTCAGCAGCCGGGGGTTCCTCCTGACTAGTGTGGTATATAAACCTCAAGCTAGGCTCCCCAGCCTACAGCCTCAGACCCAGAAAGGAACCCAGGCAACATCCAGCTGAGAAAAGCAGCAGGGTTTCTATCTGCCA